GGGCCCAGGGCAGATAAATCTCTCCCTGGCGTTACGGGCTTGTCCTTCTACGCACTGTCCACTTCTAAGTATTCGAAAGTTCTTTGTTTTTTGTGGGGCCAAGATCCTTTCATTTCCAAGTGTACTATCCTGGGCCTCTTCCTGGCCACTAGGGGGCCAGGAACAATTAGAAACGAGCACAATTAGAAATGAACACGATTCGATATGAACGACGTGTGCAGGGGGAATATTCAAAGATAGTCAAAAACATAGTCTGGGGATTTGTTTTGGATTATTTGTTGACTATTTGGGGGTATTGTTTGACTATTTTTGATTATTCGCCCACAATGCGCCTGTAGGGGGACATGCCCGACCTAACCCTAGCGTGAGCGCTCTGGAACGATCGCTGTGCCCCATGCACCATCCAGAAACGCTGGTTCCCAGAGCTCCGCAGTTTGTGCCCAGACAGCCGATGTCTCGATCGTTTCAATACGGAGTCCCGAGGGTTCTGATGTTCCAACGCACTTTTAGCCTTGACCACCAGAAAGAATCTCGAGCATCAAGAAAAGTACCGAAATTCTAGGGTTTTCACGTGTCCGGCCCTCGGAGGCGACACTCGTTCGACACGGTTGCGAGTCCTTTCTGGGTGTTCGAAATTCTTGCTGGGATGTGGTACTCAAGTGCGACGCGAGCAACCGAACCCAGGGGCAGGCTCTTCCGCCCGAGTCGGTTTGTGGACTGCCCCGTCTCCGGCGAGGACCCCCCGAGGCCGACAGAAACGGCCGAAAAGCCGTCCGTTGTTCTTTTGTCTGCCCACGGCGCGAGCGAGCACGTCGGGCCCCCCCCCCCGTCCGTTGTTGGCCCCGGCCCTGGCGTCGTCTGAAGCGCTTGGCCTTACCGTCGAGTTTGATCAGTGGGTCGACCTTGCCAAATCAAGGGTACCCTTGCGTCCTGTGCTTCGCGACCCATGCCCTCGACATTCTTATGGCAATGCGGCCCTCGGAAGGGTGTTGTGTCCTCTCGCGTGTCCTCTCCAATCCAGCTCGACTGTACGTCGGGCATGTCCCTGTACAGGGGGCATATCCAACAAAAGACAACACACAGTCTAGGGAGGATGTTTTCGATTGGGAGTTCGAGTATGTTTGCGAGTTGTTTGACAATGGTCTATTTTTCGTCGAAAATCCGCCTGCAGGAGGACAGGCCTGACCTAATGCTTGGCATCGCTCGGACGTGTGCACTTGTTAGCCGGCGAGGCCAGCGCCAGGGAATCGAATCAGAAAACAAAAACATAAACATAAATGTTTGGCGCTCCGTGCGGATGTCTTGGATCCGCCCTGGGGCCCCCTCCCTGGCGGCGCCTTCGGCGCCGCCGCTGGCGCGCTCCGCGGATCCAAGAAATCCGCGCGGAGCGCCGAAAGCTTATGTTTATGGTCTTTCGTCTTCTTCCAGAGAAGCTAGACCATCTTGTCAGTAACGTACGACTCGAGAAAGACTGGACTCCGGTTTGAGCCGACTCTGGTTGGCGAGCGCGTTCCTGATTTTGACGGTCCAGTTTAAGTGGGACGTCTGCAGCGGGAGTTCGCGTCAAGTTTCAGACCGGGTCTCGTCATTTTCATGATGGCCCCGTCAGGCCAATTCGAGTCCTCCCGAGCCCGAGTCTTGCGTACATCCCGGATCTTGGGGCATCCGAGATCCTAGATTGAAGACAACCCCCCGAAAAATAACGGAATGGACGTCCGAGCGATAGCGGGCAAATTGAGGAGCGCCTCTCGACCCCGGCCCGGATCTGAGAGATCCTCTTGAGGAAAACAAGACAAACGCACGTAATGGACGTCCGAGCGATGGCGGGCAAGGAAGGAGCGCTGTCGGCTCCGTCGGGGAGACGTGAGACTCGCGCAAGCCGTACGCAAGACTCGAGGGAGGCTTGCGGAACACAGGGGAAGAAGCCTCCTCCTCCTCCTCTTCCTCCTCTTCCGCGAGAGCCTGCATGGACGAGTGCTGCTTCACAATGGGCATCAGTTGTGCGACAATCCTTCTAGATCTGGAGAAGTTCTACGACAGCATCTCCATCACAAAGCTCTGCCAAGCTGGACTCAGGCAGGGCTTCCCCGCAGTCATCCTCGCGATGGAACTACAGATATTTCTTGCCCCCAGGTACCTCAAGGAGCGCCAGTGGATCAGCAGGCCGATCAAGATCGAGAAGTCACTGGTGGCAGGATCTCCACACGGCGGCAAATTAGCAAAGGTACTATTGGGCCCTATCCTCCAGAGGGCTCATGACAAGTACCAGTTCAACATCATGATGAAGACATTCGTGGACGACACGATCATTCGCTGCGAGGGCACGGCCTACAACGTCGAGACCACATTGGTCCAAGCTGGCGCATCCATCGGCCACGACATGCAACACGAGGGCCTCACGATCAGCCCCAAGACGGTCGTTGTCGCCAGCACGAGCAGCATCGCCAACAAAGTGGCCCGAGCACTTCGGAGAAAGGGCATTCGGGCAACCTCAGCACTGGCCGCCACAGACTTGGGGGCCGACGTCGCTTCAGGACGGGCTCGCGCCAGGGCCACAGCACGAAGGAGAATGACGAAGGCTAGCAGACGGTCGGCAGCCATTCACAGAATCAGGAGAATCGCCCGATTAAAGAGAGAATCGCAAGGTCTTTGGAGTACTGGTGCCTTGCCGTCTGGGACTTACTCACATCAGCATCACGGGCTCCCTGAATATGAAGTGCTGCGCCTCCGACGCCAAGCTGCTGCTGCCGCGTCTGGCGTGGGACCAGGAAGATGCTTGACGTCGGCGCTGGCCATCGAGTACGGGGACGACGACCCTGCCAAGCGCATCAGGCGTCAGCAGATCGCAGCGTGGCTGACCACGTGGCGCCAGTCCCCAGGCATCCACGACAGGATTCGGCAATCCTGGGACAAGATCCTCGACCGCATACGAAAGGCTGGCCAACGCAAGTGGAGGATCGTCCGTGGCCCAGTGGGGGCAACTATTGCCGCCCTCCTCGAGATCAACTGGGACCCGATCGCGGCGACCCAGTGGGACACGGACGCAGGTAAGAGCTGGCTCATTCCTGCAAGAGAAGACGAGGACTCCAAGAAGTTGAATGCGGACTACACGGAGATCTTCAACGACATCAACAGCTCAGTGGACAGAGTTCTCTGGACTCGGGCTTCGAAGCACGAAGCAGGTGACGACCTACACAGTGGAGGTGACTTCAGCACGATCAAGCAGGAGAACCGCCGACTCGCCAGGAGGGACAGCACAGCGAGATTGCACTCAACACGGTGGTCACGACAGGTGGTCAGTGGACACGTACGCGAATGTTGGCCGCAGGATACGAGGTATCCCCCACATGCCCGAGGTGGGGAGAACAGGATGAGTCGCTTTTCCACAGAATATGGACATGTGCGGCCAACTGCAACCACGACGACTACACGGACAGCGAATTCCTCACCGCACAGGCGTTCGTCAACTACGAGGCCTCTCCGTCCCTCTGGCTTCGAGGCGTTCCTGCGGCTGCCGACACCATGCCAGTCTTCGACGAGGCCCCACCCATCACGAGCAGTTTCGGAGAGAAGTCGACAATCCCACGTGATGAGGAGGGGTTCGCTGAGATTTTTGGAGATGGGTCGGGCGGTGAGCATAGCAGTGACTGGCGTCGCAGACGCGCTGGTTTCGGATTTGTTTCCCTTTTCCTCTGGCAGCCTGGACCCGATGTTCGGCTTTTCGTCTTCCCTTGGTGGGAGGGTCCAGACGGTCCCGAGGGCCGAGCTCTCTGCCTGTCTCGCCGCCCTAGAACAGATCCCAGGGAACATCCGATATATGACGGACCACCTGGCCCTGGCCCAGGCCTGGTCCAAAGGAGTCCCGCTCCTCCTCGCTTCTTCGACCCCTCCTGCGAACCTCGACCTTTGGACCAGGATCCTGGAGGCAGCTGGAGACGGAGTAATTCGTGTGATTTGGATCCCTGCCCATGTCGAGGCTAGGGAGGTGAATTCCGAGGAAGCGTTTCGATATGCTGTTGGCAATGCGTGTGCCGACGCACTCGCGGGCCTAGGCGCCCAAGCGAGCAGGCGCTGCGGCCTCACGAATCCCGACACCGACCGCCGCGATGCCGAGGCTGCCCTGGTCAGACGTCGGGCTCGGAGAGCTCTGGTTGCGAGCATCCTGGCCGATCCGTGGACCGCGTCTCGACCCGAGGCCCCAGGGGTCCTGCGGCTTCCCATCCTGACCAGGTGTCTTCGGGCCAGCGAGCATCAGTGGCGGAAGGTGGGTTCTAAGTTTTTCTGTTTGGTTTGCTCCCAGTTCGAGACCAGGGAGTCCATCCGCTCTGGGAGCCTCTCGCGGTGTTGCCCCAAGCCCCGTGGCCAGGGCATCTCACCGCTCCACGGCCCACAGACTGTCGCGGGGAAGTTGCTGTGCGCGAGCCACAAGCTTTTCTTCTGGGGCCGTTTTGGTTTAACGTTTTGCACTGTGTGTGGCAAGACCGCCACGTCCGACCCAAGGTGGTTGGTGGAAAGATGCAGGGCCTCCCCCAAGGGTGCGCAAAATCTCGCGAGGATCGCCCGAGGTTTATACCCGCACGTGGGGGGGCCCCCGCAGCACGTCCGTGAGGCAGAGATCTCACAATTCGCTTACTAACTCGTCTGGTTTTGCCCAGTTTCGAGGGCCCCGCTGGTGGCGTACATGGCAAAGTGATGCGACGCCCCTCGGGAGGCCGAGAAAAGATCACGAGCGCCATCCAGCGGGGTCCTGATTATAATAGGCGTCGACTGTCGTTGTCGCCCGTCATGCATAGTCCTGCATAGTCCTCCTCCTCCTCCTCTTCCTCCTCTTCCTCCTCCTCCTGTTCCTCCTGAGGGGAGGACACGCACTGGGGGGGCGATCAATGGGAGGCAGCGAGGGCTGCAGAGAAGGAGCCCTTTGGGGAGGGGAGGGGAACGAACGTCCGAGCGATGGCGGACAAGGGAGGAGCGCCGCTCGGCCCCCGGCCCGCGCCGCGGAGGAGCGCGAGGAGCGGGCGCGCGGGGCTGCCGACGCCGCCGCGCGCGCACTGGACCTGGAACGCATCAAGGGCGAGGAGGCAGCGGGCCCTCCTCCTCTTGATCTTCGACCTCCTCCTCCTCCTCCGCTCTCCTCCCCGTTCTCCCTCCTCCTCCTCCTCCTCCCCTCCCTTCTCCTCCCTTCCCTCCTCCTCCTCCTCCTCCGCCTCCTCCTCCTCCCCCTCCTCCTCCTCCGCCTCCTCCCCCCCTCCACCTACCCCTCCTCCTCCTCCTCCTCCTCCTCCTCCTCCTCCTACTCCTCTCCTCCTCCTCCTCCTCCTCCTCCTCCTCCTCCTCCTCCCTACTCCTACTCCTGCTCTCCTCCTCCTCCTCCTCCTCCTCCTCTTCTTCCCCTTCCTCCTTTTCCTCCTCCTCCTCCTCCTCCTCCTCCTCCTCTTCCTCGTCCTCCTCCTTCTCCTCCTCCTCTTCCTCCTCTTCCTCCTCCTCCTTCTCCTCCTCCCCCTCCTTTTCCTCCTCCGTAATTAGCCTATTTGGCTCTAGGCTGCGGATGTGCCCTCGAGGCGAAGCGAGGGCGCGCATGGCGGCGGCCCGGGTTGCTGCCGGCACCAGCGTGCACTTCACGGCGGTGTTGGAGGGCATCCTCGGTGCTCGCATTCGCCGCGGGCCGCAGGAGTGGCTGCTACGCCTCGCGGCGGAGGAGGCGGCGAAAGCGGCCGTCAGCAGCGGTGGTGGTCCCTGCCAGGCCTGCGACACCTTGAGGTCGTTCGAGGACACGCTCGTCCAGGTGGGGAAGCTCGTGGACAAGCAGGGCAAGGCCAGCACGGAGGAAGTGCGCGTGGCCTTCCGCCAGTTCCAGGAGGACGAGTTGGCAAAAGCGTGATCGCAGTTCCGTGCGAGCCGCAAGGGTGTTGCGCACCCCACGGAGCGGGGTGGCCGAGCGCGACTTGGCGGCCCTTGCTGCGCAGATGCACCCGCTCGACGAGCCGGCAACCATCTCAGCGCAGACGGAGGACCTGCTCGAAGAGCTGGAGATGTTCGGCGAGGGCGTTGAGTCCGAGGAGTCCACGCCCAACGACGGTGAGCTGGAGAACTGCGCGAAGACCTGCTGGCATGGCGTTGAGTCCGAGGAGCCTGCGCCCGCCGTTGACGGCCACGTGGGCGTTGAGGAGGAGCTGGAGGACGTCGAGAAGTCCTGGGACCAGCTCGGCATGTGCATCGAGGTGAACACGCACGAGACCAGCGACAAGGAGGCATACTTGGAGTATCCCTGAGAGGAGGCCCAGGCCAGGCTCCTCGACGCGCAGTTCAACCAACGCCAGGACCTGGCCATCGCCCGGGGCCCGGCGGAGGAGCTCCTGGAGGCCCGAGCCTCTGTCTGGGAGGCCAAGCGCAGCGCAGTGCCGACAGAGCAGAAGGGCGAGTTCGCCAACGGGGGCACAGTAGCGGCACTGGAGTGCGGTCGGAAGCGCTGCGGCGGCCGCCCGACGGCCCCGTGCTGTGAAGGTCCCTATCAGAAGACTGGCGAGGAGCGCAAGGATGGCCAGGACGTGGACGAGGCGGGCTTCGACTCCGGGAAGAAGACGGCTGCGCCCCGCTCGCGTTGGGCGGATGACCTGCGCGCGTCCATCTCCCTCGCCGTGAACGGCAAGTCCGAGGACGTCGTCGGCGCTTTTAACGCCGAGTTCGCGCAGGAGGCACTCGTTGACGAGGAGCCCCGCGCGCAGCATGACCAGGACGCGGGCCCCGAGGGCACCGAGACGGAGGTCCCGCGGCGGCAGGCGCCAATGCGGCGCCGCGCGCGCCATCAGGGCCGCAATGGCCGCAGGAGTTGTCGCCCTCCTGCGAGCGCCGCTTTCGCCAAGGCGCCCGTGGAGGCAATCGAGCAGTTCGAAGAGGAGGAGGAGGAGGAGGAGGAGGAGGAGGAGGAGGAGGGCGACGTCGACCTCGACGACGATGATCAGGCCCTCTTCGACGCGGAGCTCGCGGCCCTCCGCAGCGAGCACGACCTCGAGATGCAGAGCATCGTGGCCCAGTGCCGCGCTGCCGCCGAGAGCTGCGGGATCAAGCTCAAGGGCAGCAAGCCGATCAGCCTGCCCGCGAAGAGCAACGGCATCGTCCTGCCGCCCCACGCGGACGGCATCAAGAGCAAGCTCAGGGGCAGCACGCAGATCAGCCTGCCGCGGGGAGCTACAACAGCGAGGCCCTCGCGAATATTGCCAAGGAGTGATGGGCGTAGGCGGGTCACTGCGCCCCTAGGGCTCTACTCCTACACCTCCCTTTCCTCCTCCCACTCCTGCTCCTGCCCCTCTCCCCCCCCTTTCCCCCTCCTCCCTCTTCCTCCCCCTCCCCCCAGTGGCCCTGCTCCTCCTCCTTCCTCCTCCTCCCCCTCCTTCTCCTCCTCCTGCTCCTCCTCCTCCTCCTCCTCCTCCTCCTCCTCCTCCTCCTCCTCCTCCTCCTCCTCCTCCTCCTCCTCCTCCTCCTCCTCTCCTCCTCCTTCTCCCCCTCCTACTCCTGCAGTTTCTCCTCCTTCTCCTCCTCCTCCTCCTCATCCTCCTCCTCCTCCTGAGTCCACGCGCCGCAACCAGCAAGATGCGATCAGGCGTGTCGAGTGGGGATTGGCGCCTCGTGCCCAACGTACCCCTGCAGCGCCGCCCCCGCAGGGGGGCTCCTCCTGCAGCCACGTGGCGCGTTGATCGACCATGTCGTGATTCGCTGCCGTTCCGTGGTCGGCTGGTGGCACGGCGTCTTCTTCAGTGGCGACGACTCCTTCGCCGGCGGCAAGTTGGCATGCGTCGACGCGCCCCTGACCCTCTTCCTCTGCGAGTGGGTCTTCCTCCACGCTCTCTTCAACCTTGCCCTCTCCGCCATCCGTGGCGTGAGGGCGCCTCGGGGTAGTCCGTCGGGCGCGCGCCAGCGCGGCCGGCGGGAGACGCTCGAGAGGCGTTTGCGCTCCTCGTCGTCGTCGTCCTCCTCCTCCTCCTCCTCCTCCTCCTCCTCCTCCTCCTCCTCCTCCTCCTCCTCCTCCTCCTCCTCCTCCTCCTCCTCCTCCTCCTTCCTCCTCCTCCTCCTCCTCCTCCTCCTCCCCCCCTTTTCCCCCCCTTCCCCCTCCTCCCCATCCCCCCCTGTCGAGACAGGGGTTCGACAGGGGTTCTGCGTCGATGACGAACTTTGCTTCTGCGCTGGGCCCAGTCGCGCGATGGGCCAAGTATCAGATGGCCCCACAACTTGATCTGGAGCTCGCCGTGGCTGATGATTGTCTATTGTTTTAGCCTCACACGCCCTATCGTGGACCTCATGTTCCTTTTCTGAACAACAGTAGCAGCGAAGGGTTTTCAATGCTGCTCCCCCCCTCCCCCTTGGGCTTTCGGCTAGCGATGTAAATCGGCCCTCCCATCCGCGCCCCCCTCTCCAGCTCAGCCTGCGCGCGCAGAGAGAAGGAGGGGGGCGAGGAGGAGTAGGAGGGCGATGGGGGGAGGGGCAGGAGCAGGAGGGGAGGGGGGGGAGGAGGCCTGCCTGAGCGGTGGCCACCACGGGGGAACAATTAGTTTCCACGTGCGTTGGGGGGGGTCCAATCCGTCAATCAGAACGCTCAAGAGATACATGTTTTACGATGGGGGGGTTCAAAGACTGCACCTGGTTAATTAATTGTTGCATGTTGGCCTGCTGGGATTTGATTTGGGAACGGGCTCACCGCCCTCGTGAAAGCCAAGGGCCATATACTCCAGAAGGGCAAGTTCGGGACGCGCGTTCTGCACCTAGGCTTCTGAGTGTGCCTCGTTGTTCTGAGTGTGCCCCGTTGTCCACGCAACGGGCTTGAGAGGGGTATTAATCAAGTATTAACCGCAGGTCCGTCTTGCGTTTCCTCGTTTTCGTCCTCCCGACGACGATGCGTCCGCTGAGTATATAGATGTATGAATATATGTATATATGTATATATGTATATACATATATAGACTCGATGCTTCAGCATCGCATACAATTCGCCTGGGTGGCCCCTGAGGTAGCTAGACATTGCAGGGGATCTTCAGATGATCACCGTTCGCCCGAGGCACGCCCGTTCGCCCGCTTGCTCACACAATGCGACGGGCGGGGTTTTCCTGGAGTTCGTGGAAGTCACGCTCGTGGGCTAAGCCGCCAACTAACGCGCCATATTCTAATTTAAGGCTTTGGATTGGGCTACATGGCCTTGAACCATAGATGGGGCGGCATGCATGACGACGGTTTCTGTCATTCAGACAAAACTCTAAGAATTTGTGGTTTGGGAATACGAGCGATGATGCTGCTGATGTCCTGGAAACGCCCGTTCGGAAAACCCAAAGGTTTATTCCGGCCAAGGCCCATATGCAGAGTGAGGAACCCGAACGGTCATTCATTGTCCATGGGCGCGCGGATGAAGTAGAGTCCCGCGGTGGAGATGGTTGCTGTTGCGGTGTTCCTGTTGTTGGGCGGTGACCTTCCTTGGCGCCCTTCCTCCTTTGCGACCCCCCCCAAAACAAATAAATGCAACAGAAACGCACGTCGGGTTATTTCCCAACTGCGGTCGCGCACCTCCTTCCTTCCTTCCTTCCCGCACCCTTCCCGCCTCTCACCTCGCTCCTACCTGGCCATCCCTGGGGGGCTGCGATCTGCTGGCCTGCCGCCACTTCCGAAGGCTGTTTGGGAGTCCTGCGGGGTGGCGTCTTACCGAGAATCAGATGAGACCTCGCCATCCCTGGGGGGCTGCGATCTGCGAGCCTGTCGCCACTTTCGAGGGTTGCTGGGGGGTCCAGCGGAGCGACGTCTTACCCATATTCAAATGAGACCTCGCCACCCCTGTGGGGCTGCGATCTCCGAACCTGTCGTCGCTCTCGAGGGCTGCTGGGAGGGGGGGGGATCGAGCTGAGTGGCGCCTTGCCCAGATCCAGGTGGGACCTCGCCATCCCTTGTGGGCTGCGACCTGCAAAGCTGTCGCCAGTTTCGAGGGCTTCTACTGGATCTGGCGGGGCGACGTTTTACGTGGACTACCAGTCGACCTCGCCACCCTTGGGGTGCTGCGAAGCTGGCGGGCGAGCGTGGCATCGCTCGCTTCCTGCTTTAACAC